GAAGATTCTTCAATACTGTAAGTACGCTACTGTCGCACTCCTTATTATAACAGAATGTCAATACAAAACAGAAATGAAATCAAGGAACCGTAGAGTGAAAACGCATCCACGGTCCATGAACGCACAATCCGTAGCGCAACCAAAAGGTGGATAAATACTAAAGGCCCAAACACAGTGGACACGCATTACCACAATCAGAACACTAATTAACAGTCTCAGCGCAGAGCGCACAGACATCAGTTTATATGAAGTGCTAGCAATGAGAAATGCCATTAATAATCTATACAATAAGTTCATGATGGAACACAGCTGCTTCGAAGCCACCTGGCCACCATTAGGTGTCACTCATGAATATTTTACAAAAAATACTGTTTTAGAAGAAGCCATCTGTCATGCCAATGCAACAGCGGTGATAATGAAGCTTTGCAACTCGACATAAACAAGCAAAACTACCAAGCCCGAGAAGGCCCATGCAGGATAGCCATGAGAAATGGCTTGTTTTCGCGACATACCTATTTCTAAATTCTCACGAGAGTTGGAGGAACCACTGCAATATGATATCCCAAATACAGGGGACTCCATGACAGTGCACGTAGCCTTAATACACGTCGACGACCAAACAAGAACGAAATGGGAACGATCACTGGGGAGCACAACTACATACCCAAGGTTCGCGCAACTGAAATCATTCATGCTGGCTGAAGTGACTGAATTAGATAACGCAACTGAATCGAGAGAACAAGAAACTCATTCTCAAAGCCACACATCCGATAGAAAATTCGTAAGAACGTGTCAGTCATCAACGGCGAACGAGAAGGGAGGAAAGCATTGGAAATTCAATCAATTTCACCCCCTATGCTTCTACTGCAATGAAAATCACAAGTTATGGATGTGCGACCAATTAAAGAAACTCAACATTAACTAACGACAAGCCGTAGCGAAAAAACCATAGCTATGTACAAACTGTCTTGGAAAACATTTGCCAAGCCCATGCCTCAGCAAGAAAGACTGCATGGACTACAACAAGACACACCATACTCCATTACACGAAAAAAAGAGCCCTACATATGAAGACGCTAGCTCATCATTACACACCAGATGACCAGACCGGAAACTACAAGATCACCCAATAGAAGACGAACAACGACCTTGCTGGCTACCGTAGTGATTACAGTAAAATTACAATCAACTATGTATCAAGCTCGCCTTCTTATTGACACCGGCTCTGAAACTACAATCATCACTGATGAATTACAAGGAAACTTCAAGCAAGCCCACAGAAAGCCACTGTCATAATCGATAGAATAGGAAGTACATCACCGATACAAACAACTAGTAAAAATTACATAAAGTGCCAGCTATAAGTGCGAAGGTAATATACTTACTAAACAAGTTTCACCGGATAGATCAATAGTCGTTGTTAAAACAAATGTTTATTCTGAAATACTAATAATAGAAGCGATAAACCCCCCGAAAATATCTGATTACCTATATCTCCCGAAGAATCTCAAATTATAAATAACATTTTTAAATTATTTGCAAAACATGAATCTAATAGACGAATCACATCATCTTCAGAATGAAGATTATCGGATAAACATTCAGATATCATTTCAATGAGGGATAAATCTGAAATTGATAAAATGACTGAAGCTATAACCCCAGAGCAATATATCATCAGAAGTAAATGACTATATTAGACCGAAAAAGTCAGTTACACAGGCATTTCACCGGATGATATCTTAAATGAAGAACAAAAAATTAAAAGTCTTATAACTACTTCATTAACTTCTTCAAATGCAATGACAACTACAAACAAAAAAAACTGCACAAGCTTAAGGGCAATTTAAGTTCATTTATTAACAAGGTCCATAAAGAAAATGTTGAGAGCATTTAATACAGATTCAGAAAAGTGACACTCCAAACTCATGATCTAAGAAGAATATTGAACACAGAAAACATCTATAACAACGGATCCTATATACAATCAAAACAGAAATAATAAATGACACATTGATACTGAAATTAGAAACTTGTCAGTTAGAAACGTTTGTCCAGATGAGGATAAAAACTTATTCGCACAAAGAAAATTCCATTGTCAAGACCCTAACCAAGACAGAGGTTAATTAATTACAATGAAAAACGGTCAAGTCAAATTTACAAACCTAAGCACAAGAGCAATTGCTTCTAGCCCAGAACACAGCATGCCTAACGATATATTGAATAAATAAATATAAATCCAGTAAAACAGATATTGAATTGAGATACTCAAGGGTTGGGATATAAACACATTGTTGAATTTAATTCAGTTGATTAGGTCCACTGAGGAACAAGAATTAATAAAATATACTAATACATATAAACTTGTCCCTTCGCAAGGAAATACCAATCAAATTGAATGGTGGAACTTAAATACAAGTTCAAATTTTTAATAGTAAATTAAATCGCTTAAGCCTATACAGTCATAACGTCACACATATCGCTCATTATATCTACACCAATTGTGTCAAAATAGGCAAAATTCAAACAATTCACATTCCATCCTCTACACCTAATTCAAAACAAGAACATATTAAATTAGCTTACTGCCTTCTGAAAAGGCTAGGAAACTCAAAGCGAATTCTGTATCTACTTGCAAATTAATGAAAGGGAATAAAAGGTGTCATAGCAGTCAAAACACTGCAGATGCAACTGCAAATCCTTGGCATAGCGGACGGGGCGCATTGGACACATGGCACTTAACAAGATGACAAGCTCTTCCACTCTTAAGACTAACCAGAAACAACAAATTGGTTACAAGGGACAAAAACAAATGTATAAGGCAAGGATAGCACGAACAGAACCCTCTACCAAGAAATTATACAAGTCTAGGACGAATGATGAATTCATTTGGCATACGACTAAAGGCACACGTCAATTTTACTACACCAATGAGTAACAAATACTTTAATAGGCATACTCAACTAACCCTGGCATACAAATGACAGAAGTATTGGATCTTTGCGAACGAACTTCAATATACTCTCGCACACTATGATGCATTACACATGCATGACCGAAAGGGAATCCATGCACAACATTTAACGGACCAATTACCGCTGTCTCGAGTAAACCATCAAACACAGATGTTGGCTATGCCAGTCATTTTAACCATAAACTCTAAACAGAGAGAAATAAAACGGTTCCAGAGGCGGACTTATCGTGGCATTCCGACAATGTTCAGAAGCATCCTACAAACTGTACACAAAGTTTCCAAGAACAAAAACAGACAGCTAAGACCATCGTGATCGACTACTAAATGGGAATTCAATACATTCACTACACCCCACATGATAAAAATGGGAAGCAGTGGTAAACTCCGTCAAGTTACATAAAGAATACCATTGGATAATTGACATTTAAAGAAATCTCCACATTGCTTGCCCGAGTTAACTCAACCACAATCACAAGACCAATCCACATTCTACCAGTACTACTAGTCCCCATAGAAGATACGAAATCTAATCATCAATGAATTGATGGCGGCCGGAATGTTACGGATTAAAGCAGTTAAAAGCAGAATACAAAAGTGGGAGAGGTACAAGCTCCCGGACATTTCCACTTGTCAGCAACACCTCCACCCAACATTAACGGGAGGTTTCTAGTCTGATCCCAGATAGTAATATTTATATATTTTTTTAATTCTTTTTTACTCTATTAATAATCTTTTATATTACATTTATTATTTTTCTTATTTAATAAAATATTGTTAAACTTCTATATTTATTTCTGAGGACGATTTTGTCCCCAATTAATCCTATCCCAGTTACTGAATCACGAATGAGTTTCATTATTTCAATGATTTTGATATAAATTATTGAAATAACCAATAGACTAGTTGCGTGTGTATATTATTAAAAAGTGTTAATTATTCTAATTTGTCAATTGTTGTGTAATATTATTGATTTACTATTAGTTATCATTTGCTTGTATTATTTACTGTGATAAATTAATGATATTAATATATGAAATATATAATCAATTATTGATGATGGCTCCAGTACTCGATTAGTATTAATATAATTTTTTATATTGTTTATTTTTATATATTTGATTGAAAATTTTTAAAATAACTTTATAATTAACAATACCAGTTTTTCAATAATGTACAAAATAAATATAGAATACAACCGGATTTGATTTATTGTACTAGTTATATGCAGTTTACAAATATTTCCATTTTTTCAATAAGATTGTCACCATTTTTATCTTTCTAATCTTATTTACTTTTCAGATTCTATCTTATTCCATTGCTTTTTTTTTGGTCTACGCTTGCAATTTTTATTCACATTTCTTTAACTGCATATATAACAATTATTACAATAGTTTCGCAGAATAATTATTTTGATTTTTAATATTACTTATTAAATCGAAGTTCCAAATTCACAAATATATCTCCAAACTGTAATAAATAAAAAAATCAAATGAAAATAATTTTATTGATTTATTTCATTTTTAGTGACTAAAATTCCATTAATGTCACAAATTTAAGAGACATTGTTGACATTATTTAAGTTTAAAAAATGTGATTATTCCTAAATTTGGATATGACTGCACTTCTCTATGAGGCAAGCTCGTACATAACTCAAGGTTATTTACAGCTAGCAATATTAGATCAGACTGAGTAACTGAAAGACAACTAGCACAGAAGAAATCAGAATTATTGACATCAACTCATATTGTAAAATAAATATAACATTGTATTTTTAAAACATTTGATTTAATATTTTAAATATATGCAAAATGTCTAATTATATAACTTAATAACAGTTTTTAATAGTTTTTAAATAAAAAAAATCAAATTTAAATGATTAAAAATATATTATTTTAATAAAAAAAATTATAATAAGAGTAGATTTTGTTATTATTTATAAGGAAATGAACAAAAATCGTATTTTTATCAATAATAAAATTTTCTTTATAATGGTATATGATAGAAATGATCATGTTTAAAGACTTACCAATTCTTATAATATCAGGTAAAGCTTCGCAGGTAATAAAACTAACAATATATATGGACCATACCAAACTAATTTTCATTGCAATACCAATGTCCTACTGTATCTATAAAAAATAAAATATAAATATTTTTTAAGAAAAAATATATTTGATATAATGAAAAAAAGAAGTTAAATATAAATTAAGTACTAAATAAATTTAAAAATTGTAATTTATTTATAAATTTTCCTTTTCCATTTTTTCTGAAAATCTATTCTACTAATATGAACCAAATTAATTTTATAATTATACATAATATAAATTGTCATGTAATCATAATTTATATAAATGAAATACAATTAAAAATATAAAGTTAAATAATTGTAAACAAATACATCAGTTAATAATACTCATTTGTAAAATATATATACATATGTATTAAATTTTCTCTTAAAATTACAATTATCTACAATTATTATAAATAAATCTACAATTACAATTCTGTATATTCTGTATAATACAATATGAATAATTTACATAATTAAGTTTACTATAAATTTAAAATCAATACATTTAAACATTTTTCAAAGAAATATATTGTAATAAAAATAAACTTTTTGTTATATATAATTATCACTTGTAATAATCATTAACTAAATTTATTAATAATTGCTATACCGTAAACAATGTTAAACAAAACTACAACGTTCTAAACAGCAAGGCAATATCAATGTTATTGGCGTTTGCGCAATAGAAAATCCCATTGCTTTGCTCTTACATATAACCATGATACAAGTAACAACATTTGCATAAGTATGATTTTTTCCAGTTTTGTATATACTAAATATCGTAATTAATATCTATAAAACTGAAAAATTATACATTTGGGTATGCATAATACAAAAAGTGAATGATATTTACGTAATATTTTAGAATTTGTTCAAAGATTTGTTTGAATATATTAAGTTTTTTACAAAATTATATGGTTCTACATATTAGATGTACGTTCAAAAATAGCTTAAATCTGACATAAGTTGTGAGTTTAAAAAGAAATTTTCTATATGCAAAATAAAAAAACCTGACAAAATAGGAAGTCTATAAACATAACAACGATATTGTCCAACCGTTGAAAAACATGAATAACGGCCTGATAAGTGACTTACATGAATTTTTATAGTACAAATCGATTAGATAATAAGAATTTTATGTAAAATGAGCTTTATACTTTGTTGAAAGTAAATAAGATATATATTATTTATTATTTGAAAGAGAATGTCGTGATAATCTATTGAGTGATATTTTGTTTCATAACAAATTTAATAAAGTACAAGAATGTTCGATAATTCTAAAAATGTAATCCGTTAATGTACAGTCTTCAAAATTGACCAAGTGATGATTAAAGCATCTTGCATCAGTTAATAAATCTATATTACTCAAAATTTATACTAAACTTTTATCACAATTTCCAACCAAAAAGTACATGAAAACGATCAAAATAAAGTAAAAAGCAACGAAAGCAATTAGAATTAAAAAAAATCCGACTTTATATGAAAAAGAATTAAATTCTATATAGGAGTAATCTTATTATAGAAATGAAATGTAATAAAAGAAGTAACGGTAAACCAGATACTATTTTGACAAATAAATTTATAACAAAGAGAAGATATGAATAATTAAAACAATAACAATGATACATATATTCAGATTAAGGTATAAAATAAACTAGTATATATACTTGACACTCTATTTAACAGAAAATAAATCTTTAATATAAGTGAGGTGAAGATTATTTCACAACATACAAACAAATTTAGACAGGGTAACATAAATATTACAAAAAGCTGAAAAACAAATAAAAAAAATATGATTGAATGACTTAATATGATTTTAATTGATCAAATACAACAATTAAAATAAAGAAAAATTTAATAAATATACTTATTAATAAAACATTTAATAATATTCTAACAAAATTTTGTTTTCAAAAAAATTAATATTATAATTATAAAAATTATAATACAGTATAACAATACATCCAAATATTTTTCATAAGTATTGTAATAAAAGAGGGGATGTTCGTATTACAATTGATAGATTCATAATACCACAAGAAATTTAAAAAAACAATGAGTGTTGCACATATGATAGTGTTAATAAAGGCTTATACAAAAACTAATTTATTTAATAATTTTTACCACATTCGTTATTTTAAAAAAGTATAAAACAATAATGTATACAATCATAGAATTAATAAGTAAATTGTTAATAAGTAAACTCCTTTGTCATATTGTTTCCTTATGTCATAGCTACTGTTTTAGCTACCATTTCTTTGTTTTTAATGATTATATTGTTCTTTAATAAACAACAATAACAATAGGAAGACTGCTTCGTTTTTCTCTCTATTCTTACTATTTAAACTTAGTTCAATGTAACTATTTTTGTTATATCGAACTAACTCTTTCCTGCTCGCCTTGAGCCTTTGATTGACTTGCTTTCTTTGGGATTATGTATATATATATTTATGTATACCATCATTTTGAAAAAATATAATATATTAACTATGAGTTGATATTGATAAAAAAACAACCTAATTTCGAAGAAGAAAGCAGACACTCGGTATAAGGCGTAAGAGACTTGCATGCCACTGGAAAATAAAAAATCACAAATCACAAATAATATCCATATATATAATTGTCAAAAAAATTTTATTCGTTTTATTGAATTTGTTCGAAATTATAGTGATGTAATTCTTGGCTCGAACTGCCAATGCTTCAATAGCTTAGTTTGCCGCCTGCCCTAGCAGACGCTCGGGAAGGAGTGAGATGGAGAGGCTGCACAAGAGTCGTGAGAGTTGATTAATTATACATTTATTATACAATTTATCACACAATTTACATCTGGGTGTTGTAGTATCTTCTTGAATCTTATGTAAAGATGCGATTTCTTGAACGGCTTCTTGTATAGGAGATATCACTATACAAGATGTTCTTGAAATCGTTTAATTATGAAGTTGTGCCGATCATTGCCATCGGCGAGTAAGAATGATAAGGTTATGCGGACAGTGTAGTCACAGTGATGCAGTCTCTTGATCTGATCTTGGGTTGAGTAATTTACCACAAAGCACACGGCAAAGCACAAGCGTGCGTGGTCGTCCGCTCCTCTAGTAGGTGAAGTGATAACATCAAATTGACCACAAAAGGCACGCGATAAACTCAACCGTGCGTGATGGGTTTTCCCGTCGACAGTTTAATAGTAAGGTTGATGTATCTTCTTCTAGTCAGTGCATCTCCGCAAGTACTTTGGTCACTAGCTTACCAATTCGTACGAGTGCGTAAAGTTCCTTCCTGACCTGGTGCTTTTCTATAGAATAGTCCCTTTCGAAGAGATAAGGAAAATAAAATAAAATAATTATTTAAATAAAATAATTTAAATAAATTTTCTTGAGATAGCCATTGGCTGCTCAATCGTTGCTTCAATTTCTTGATTCGGGCAGCCCTTGGCTGCCCACCCGGACAGCGACCTTTCGCTGCCTTGTTCCCATCTTTAAGGCCTCTTGCCATGAGTCCCCACTCAAGAAGCTTCTGGTCTTAGTTTTCCAATCAGGGCGCGCCGCTTTTCGGCGGCATGATGAATATGCACGCCCTTTTCCCACTTCATAAGAAATTAGGCTTAGACAATGAGAATATCGAAGCAGTATCTCTGGCGGCAATGCGTGAAGTGGAAGATTTGCCCTTCTCCGGGACTAATCGTGGTGGGGGTGATTTTTAGTCAAGCGTCTTCGCTTGGCCTATGCAAGCAGCAACATTTGTCGTACTTGACAACAATGCATGCTTGCTGGTGGCATTGAAGGCACACGTGCGGCGCAGATTACCGAAGGTCGCACGTGCCGATTTTCGGGTTGTAATGGATTCTAAGAAATATTTTTCACTCAATTGTTTTCAAATAATTTAATCCTCAAAATATACTCTAGTAAACAAGCTAGCCGAGTTTTGATGATAAGTCGCAAGGGTCTTCCTTCAAAACAATTACTACGTCTATAGTACGAAGGGCAATAAAATGGCTGTTTACGAGTATGTTCCAGATGTTACTAACCTTTTCGTACGTTCAGTAACCTTGGAAAAATTTGGGAAAATTGAAAATATTAAGGAAACGTAAAATTTAAAGTTAGATTATGTAAAACATTCTATAAGAATAATTATTAACAATAATTTTGAAAGTATATACAAATTTTTTGTTGCTTAAGTTTGATATTGAGAATTTACTTATTACTCTGTAATAAACGAAAAAAAAAAATTTTATGCTACAATTTTTCGTAGCTATAAACCTTGGATAATTAATGATATATGCAACTGATAATGTTATTTACAATTATAGTAGATTTAATAAATTTCAATTATGATTTATATTTATTTTATTAAGTATATTTTCTTAAAAATATTATTAATGTTATTAAATCCACATACAAACCGATCCGTAGAAAATATTTCTTGTATTTTAAATTTGAAAAATTATATTTTCAAAGGTTTAGATGATTTTAAAGGGATGGAAGGATATAAATTTATAAATTAATTTTTATTTATGCTATAATTTACAATTTTACCGACATTTTTATCCTATAACTATATACTTATGACAGTTTACATGTTGAATTTAATGAATTTCTATTATCATTTTTATATTCCTGTACAGTATATGAATTATCTTTTTTTATCCATGAATGTTCATTCAATGCTAGATTTGTATATGGTACATTACTGGATGTATAACTATTAGATGAGTGTCGAGAATGCGAAGTTATATTACCCACATACTGAGTGCCTGGTACAGACATCTTACAGTCTACTGAAATATTTTCTTTTTCCTGTGTTCGATAATACTGTAGTTCATATTGTCTTTTTTTTATTATTAATTGTTCCAGTGATATTATTAGCGGTTGTATAGTTGATAGGAGTTGATTATATCCTAAACTATGAAAATAAATAACATTTATTAAATCATCATTTTATAAATATAGAATCTAAAAATTGATAATTTAAAAATTTTACAAACCATTCTGAATAAGACCAATTAATTAATTGTGTAAGTCCTTCTTTTAAATTTATTATTGATTCAGTAGTTTGCGTCGAAACAGATGCAGCTCGAATTGCTCTATTTACAGCAGCTATATCTCTTAAGACAATAGCTATTATTACTGCCCATCCTAAACAACCTGCCTCTAAGAATACTTGTAATAGATATCGTAATTGCACTTCGGCACGCGAACCATATTCATTAAAAAAATATGAAGAGACATCAGTTGTTTGAATAGAGTTAGATGAAGCACAAGTTCTAGCAATATGATTTTCCATAGTTGTCAAAGTATCATCTTCCCATATTAATGTATTAAAATCACATATAATACTACTAGAATCTAAAAAAATTTGAATATTTAAAGCTATAGTTATATTTATTCTTTATACGTACTTTAACATAGTCATACCAATTAATTAACTAATAATATAGTTGATTAACATTATACCTAAATTTCTTTTAATAAAATTTACTGATAAAAATGTTGAGTTGAAATTGTTTCAATAGATTATACGATGTTTCATAATGATATATTATAGTCATAACTGTTATTCGAAGCTATATCATTTATATTTAGACGAGATAAATAAACATACATTATGTATAACAAACGATTAACATTTAAAACTTATTGAAATATTACTCTTTTATCTAAAATTATTTTCATGCTAATTATTTGAATAGCTTTCAAAAGATTATTAGTAGTGATGCGCGTATTTAAAAGAAAAATGTATTTCAAATTCTAAACAATATTTAAATTCAAATATTGTATTTTCAATTTATATAAAATTATTAATTATAACTATATATTGGCTACAATACTTAGGAATACAATTAAATATATTTATTTAATTTTTGTAATAATAGTAATTATTAATTATTCTTAAAATATCATTTAAACATTTGCTACATATTCTATAACAAAAAGTAACATAGTCATTTTTATACAAATATTTAAATGAAAACTTAAACAAACTAGAGTAATATAATACGTTTTTTATTTAATTAAATTATTTTAGCTGGGTGTAATAGCTCATAACACAGATCAAAATAAGATCTTAATTATATTCATAATCATTTTTCTTTCACAATTTGTATAATTGTTATTTTAAATATTTATATACTATACATAACAATATTAAATAAAGTAAAAGTAAAATTAAGACATAAATAATATATAGATGTCAGATTTATAATAGATGTTATATTTAATAATAAAGATTTAATGATATTTAGATTATATATCTGCAATGTTTAGGACATTTTTACATAAGAAATACATATTTCTATTGAAAAAGAACAAAATTTCTAAATATAAATATAGGCAAATACATTAAAACAAAAAAATAAAGATTGAATTATCTAACTTAATAATAATTATATTACTGTAATAGAATGTTGATGACTACTTGTATTAAGAAGTATCAGACAATTGTAATCTTGGTGATATAATGAAGATTGTGTAAGAAAGTCAGTCGTTTAAATACTTCAGTGATAATAACTTTTAGGCAACGTACAATGTATTGTATAACATAGTAAAATACATACATATACGATGTAGTTTAAATGGTATACCTTTGAAGAGATAATAATTTCTTATCAATTGCGCAATTAAGAGACATTTAATCCTATATGATAACTACAAAGAAAATAAAACAGTGTAGAATTATACGGAGGTATCACGTTACTTAAGTAGATATAGAGATTAAAATGGTGAATATCTAACATCTACATCCAATATTTATAAATTGTACTTTAAACTATAATCACAACTATGAGCTGAAAAATCTTAAAAATTTAATTGAGCTTCAATAAAAATTGAAGACAACTAAGTAAGACAATTAAATAAAAGCTAATTTCTAAAACACATTTTCTTAGTAGTAAAAACAACTAATGGATATTGTAAATAAGATCTGTTATGGAGTTCGTTTATACTTGTTCAAATCAGTATTAAAAGAAATATACAACGGACTCAATATCTTTTCTACGCATTATATTCTACTTCGATTTATAGCATCAAATTAAAAATTCCAGTTACTGTTCTTTCTCACTGTTGATTAGAATAAATAGATCTTTTAAATTTTTTCTAAGAAAAGAAAATATATGTATTTAAAACATCCGATTATCTAATATAATTTTCAAAAAATTTAGAAATTTAAATGTATTTAAGAAATTGTTTTGAACTTTTATTGGCCCCTGCTATAGTTACAAAATATTTCATTGATTTATGATAAACGAATATACCTTTTGTAATTATACAACACCTTCATCTTAATAAGATATAATGATACTTTTAATAATTTATTATTAATAAGTCAGTTTTATTTATTAATAATGTAAGTTATTTATACATCGATTTTAAACTAATTTGTATGCTTTATTACTTTCTTTTAATTATATATTTCTTAAGATTTAACTATTATTTGATTTATGTTACTGATTATAGCAAACTAAAAAAATTGTTCAATAATAACTCATTCGACATATATAATCATATAATTTTCATATATTTATATAAAAATAAATTGGTATAGATGTTATTCTCTTATGTAATATTACATTTAAAAATATTAAGAATTTACTACAAAATACAAAGTTCTTTTATTAATTTTTGGGTAGAAATATTATTAGTCCTTGTAACGGTGTAGATTATTTTCTATGATTTTGTAGTGTTCTGACTTTTTCTGTTTTATTAATATATATTTTCATCTACATATATGTTAATACTATGAAATATCAGCCTCATTATAGCATAATGTTACTCATAAATTGATGCCTTTGCAAGTTAAATTGCCTACGTTATTTTATTTAAGTTTCTTCTAATATCCTCAGTTAACATTATCAATCACATCTTTTAAGTCACTTTATTTAATCATCACTGTCATTGACTATAACGTTGCCCAAGTAATATTTTACACACTTATAAAAAGTTCAGACAAAACAGATAAATATTTTATATCTTTAAAAATAAACGTGTAACTTTTATAACTATTTATAAATTGAATTTTATAATTTAAAGAAAATAATGTTCGACATATTTTTTATAATATTAAAATTATATTGATATTAAAAAATGAGAAAGAATTTAATGTTTTATAATTCGAAGCAGCCAAATATCTACAAAGGTTCATAAAATTTGATCAAAATATACAATTTTGTAAACAATAGAAACACAAGTTTTGTAAAATTTCAAAAAGTAGTAACTTTAATTGCTTTAATTGTTCTATAACTATGTATATATATATACTAAAAATAAAAAATATCTTACCATTTGCACTACGAGTTTTATTGTTTTCAAAAATTAATGATTGTGAATAGGGTATATTTATATTATTCATATTTGAAGTAGAGTAAGTATAAATATCTTTATCAATTGGAAAACTTTGGTATTTACTATCGATATGTTCTATATCACACACTTCATCATTTATATTTTTTTGAAAATCATCATGAATTATTAAATCAACTTGTTGCTGTATATTTTTTGCTGAAGTTTTTAATTTGATAAAATCATGTAATGTAAGTAATGGGTATGGGTAACCAAATTGGTCATGTACTGCTTTAAGTGCTGTAATATAATTATCTACTTTTCCTGCTCTTTCTCTTTCTCTTATCATCCAAATTACCAATTCAAAATCCAACTGTGCAGCAAAACATCCTAAATCAAGCAATCGTTGGGATGTTAGTAATTTTCGCGCATGACGTTGTAAAATCACATCTATAAAAAAATCTTCTGCTGATGAATTACTGAAATAGACAATAAAATGTAACATTTATGAAACAGTAGTTTAAATTTATTTTAAGAACATTGAAAAGATAATTGAAGTTATTAATTACATAATTTATTTTAAGCTTAAACTTGTTTAGTTTTATAAATAGAATAGATATATATTGATAAATATAGATTACTTTAAATTATTCTTTATACTAGTAATTTAGTTAACTATTTTGAGAAAATAATACAAATAATTTACACATTTTTTAACTAGATTCTTATTCGATGACTTTACCAAAAATAGTTATTGACGAGTTGATTTAACTAAATAAATTAATTTATAAATTCTTTTGTTTAAAAAATATATAATTGATACATATAAGCATATTAGGAAATAATAAAACGAATCATTGTGATATATTGCTTTATGTAAGTAATGAAGGTTACGAAAGAAACAAAACTCGATATTTCATATTTACTAAATACTATACCAATTTTAAAACATTGAACTTAAAAATTTAGTTTACAAATTTTAAATGTATAAGAAAAATTATTTTAGAAGAAGAAAAGGTTATCTAATAATATACTGCTAAAACAAATTAAGCCAATAATTGAAAATTCAATTCCAAGCATTTTTAGATCAATTCAAATAAGCGTTGAATTTGTTTAATAGCAATATATGAAATATATACTGATACTTATCTTTCTGAATCAAATAATCAGTTTTTATATTATTAAAATAAATACAAAATCATTTTAAATTATTATATTTGCATGAATAGCAGTATTTGATCAGGAGGTATTTTTTAAATGTATATAAAAAATACCATAAATATAAATAATTATAAATATATATATATATATATGTGTGTGTGTGTATGTTCGAGATTGCAAGAACCTTTTCCTTGCCATAAAATACCAACGGCCGTTGGAGGCTTGAAAAGGTCAGTATATTAGAAAACATTCGTGAATAGTCATTTCTATTTATTTTCGCATTTCAACCGCGCTCATTGTTTTCTGTCGCGTTAAACGATCTTGTTGTTCACTGGCAAGAAAACGATGAGCCTGTTTATGCTAGAGCATTTTAAGAGTGTCAATTATACGTAAACTATCGAATATAAAAACATCTCCAAAATATTCATTGCAAGCTAAAACCCTGTATGTGCGACAACGGGCAATCCGCGGCACACGTACACTCCCGATGTCACGAGACAATGCATACATTGTTATTAAGTATGCCGAAATTTCCTCTCGCACGAACTAAGCGACGACGGCTTAACCAAGAACCGCCCACGTCACTAAGTCCAAGAGAGGGGTGAGCCTACCAATAGTAAGCGCTGCTACCAAAGAAACTTTTGCGATATTATCATCGCCAAAGCCTAAATTCGTCGGAAGTGGGAAAAGAGGCGTGCAAGCTCACTCATGTTGCCCAAAAAACACTCTCTGATTGGATACAAAAAAGGGGAAGGGATCTCAACTGGAAACCATTGTCAATAATGCATTTAAGAAAAACCACTTCAAGATTTAATTACTCTCGATACAGTGCTTTTCCAATTAGGAAGTAAGGGTTCTTACGTGTAGTTCAAGATCGTACGTAACACGTCCTCCAAGAAAGGAAACATAAATATTCATTTATCGGAGTCCGAAGACAAGTACCAGTTAAAGTCCTTATCAAAGAAGGAAGCAGCGCTCATAGCAGAAACAACACGCAGTTTATTATAAGATGTATACGTTTGCGCCGGCAACGTAATATACTCAACAACAGTTCAACAAATGATAACAGTAATACTAGTCATCCCTGTAATTGGAAATCAACAGAATAAATAGCATAACAACCAGATGTATTATCACTGACTTTATTATATTATCCCTTCTACTTGACCTTACATCGCTATCACACAACAACTGGTGGTCTCTGAGTTATAAACAGCATCAATGTGTATCACTCGAACCGGTCTTAGTAAAATGAGTCGGAACATCCGATACATTTTGTACAATATATATATATATATTATAATTAAATTAATCACATTACGTTACAATATTGGAAAACAAACTGAACTCGAATATTGATTACTGTTAGATTTCTCGTATAGTATAGTGTTTTGCATTAGAAATTAAAAAATTAACAAAAAAATTATTTTATTAAAATTATATCAAGTGCAAAATAAGTTTTTAAATTTTATGGAATCATAACGATATGAGAATTAAATTAAAGGTACTTAAATACCACTGTAGAGATAAATTTGTCAAGACTGAAACCAATTTACGATATAAAATACAATAATTTAATAAAAGAATGTAATTTATATTAAAACTATTCATATATATTTTTTGTAACAGTAACAAATATTCAGATATTTTTAGTTTTTAGATTAAAATTTTCCACAAAAAAATTCTACATTTTGGTATTATATAACAACTTAAATTAAATAACTATTAACTTGAAATAGTTTATAGATATATATAAGAATAAATTATCTTTAATACATGATTCATTGCATAAAATACGATACAATACCATATCCATAATATTGAATATTGTTAATTTTTTAATTAATTTTTATTTTTAAGAAACTTTAATTATTGAAAAATAATATTTCTATACAAAAATTTCAATATATATTCTGAAAAATAACGGAAATATTTATCGTCAATAATATTTATTAAATTAAATTAAAATTAAAATTTATATCTACATTATTGAAATTGAATTTAAATAACGTTAAAAATAAAACTAAAGTATCGTTATAATAAAATATAAATATAAATTAGATTTTTTAATAAAGAAAAATATACAAGATGCAATTAAATAAATTAATTATAAGTTATTTGAAATTCAATACCTATTTCCACTTTTGTCATTTTTACATATCATCGGTACAGATTTTTTACGATTGAAATATATATTTTTATTTTTATCAACCACTAAAGATGATATTAATGTATCTTTATTAAATGAATCTGAATTTAATTTCGGAGTAGCGGTTGTACTATAACTTCTATTTCTTGACACTTGCATAGTACCTAGTACTAATGTTAAATCATCTTCTTGAGAAGAAAACGTTGAATTCTGAGATTTCTTAGATATTACTGTTGTAGAAGTTTTTAGTGAATCAACATCATTAGGATCTACAATAAAGAAACAGTATAGCATGTAGAATAAATAGAACAATTTTACAACTGCATAATAAAGTATTACCAATAGCTCTAAGAAAACGAACAAGATCTTTTGATAAATCCCACCGCCCTTGTTCAAGTGCAGCATCAAGTAGTAATGTTGCATATTGTTTACTTATCGAAGAAGCTTCTAGATTTTGTAAAATTAAAAGATAACTGGCTGCCGTATCTAGTTCTTGATTATTTAGACTGGTTTGTAATAATTTTTTCGGTGGTCCCACTACCGAAAAAAGGTAAGGCCATAAAGCAATTTCTGTTTTTCTAGCGCATTGAACAACAGCTTGTGCCCAATAACCAGGAAATTCTTTAATAAATTCTATAACTGATGGAAGTAAAGCATCTGGAATTGGCTCTTTGCTCGTTGCTTCTTCTTCTAATACTTCATGTAAAAGTAGTTCTAGTGAATGAGAAAAATATGGAAGAGATGAACATGATCTAGCAATTTCCCATGCATGATATCCTAAATTTCGATGAATTAATTGTCTAATTATTTGATGTAGATATACTTGAGACTGAAACAATGAATTAGAAATTTAATATATAAAATTTCAAATAAAATACAATATAATTTATTTATGAACATGTCAATGTATCATATAACAATATATTTTACGTATATAAAGTTGGATTTTCAGTTGGCAATTAATGAATATAACATGTATAAGCATTGATAAGTTATCTTCAATAATTCATTTATTTATATTTAATAAACTATATCCAAGATATTTTATTATTTTTATAAGATTAAAATAAAATACATATTTACACCGTTACACCAATCACGTAAACGCTAATGGGACTTAAAAGTATTAAAATTAGCATTAACATTGTTGTTCGGAATTGGAGCATTGTCACCTTTGGCTCTCTGAAATTTATAAACCTTCTAGATCTCGAAGCTTGTAAACATTATGTTTCTTGGAATTCACCAACCTTCTAAAGCTTTGTATTTCCGGAATTCTCGAAACTTCTAACGCTTTAATCTCGAACGTCCTGTAATGTTTATCTAGTCTCCGTATAGCAACACCTATCCGTTGTTGCCAGCTAACAAAGCTGCCGCGTGGATATTTAAAGCAAGCCCACCACGAGACACACGCTATTCAGCCATGAGCTAGTCATTCAAGCACGCTCTCTCAGTGACGCCATTACACAAGGTACACACGTCAATTTTCCAGTGAGCATCAGTTAACAAGCAGTCAAGAGTGCTGACTCCATTACAAGAAAATATTCGACTACAAGAAGCGTGGTATCGAAATACTCCTTATTACTAAGGTATACCAGCAGTCTCTCTTGAGGGTAACTATTTATCACAGGATCATGTCAAGACAACTGTACCTCTGTGAGTAAGAATTTCAATAAGTCATACTCCTTTCCATTGAATATTCACAATTCTTTGCTAATCCCTACAACAGTAGCAAAAGCCACTATTACATTTCAAACCCTTACTCGTTATTAAAGACGGTGTATAATCCATTGCTGATCCTTACAAGATTAGCAACAACATCTTCACTATCAACAAGGAGCAACTACATCATTGTAATTGAACATAGTTCACACTCTTCTATAAGAAGCGAATTCAACTAATAATTAATGTGATTGTCAAAACCATAATAAACTATTCTTAACGAAGTCTGCACACACTGTATATCTCTTCAGACCTACCACTTAACTCCTTACCTAACCATACGCTAAGGCAGGCAACAAATTAAATTGAACTATCGAACATTGGCAGATCGATCCAATAAATAAAGCATTTTCGAACAAATGTAAAGTGGTATATGCTTCAGTAAAAAGAAATAAAATCACATAATTAAAAAATCATGCAATGTTATTATAATATAATTTGGAAAATATAGAAAAAAGATTATATATATATATATATATATATATATATATATATACATGTTCGATTATTAAGGCTTTGTTTTATGGCTCGAACTGCCAAGTCAATAGTTCAGAGGATTAGTCTCTTGTCATGAAGACTGATCAGGAAATAACAAGTGGAAAGGCTGAAAGTAAGTATAGTATATTATTATTGTATTAATATGTCGTTTATTCTCGTTGTCAATTATTATAATTGACATTAATGTGAATCTTGAATGTCGGTTTTATGCTAATTTTGTAAGGATCAGTCTGTGTAGTTGATAATGCTCATGAATGAGCTTGAGAAGATGGTGTTTGAAATAAAGTGTACCTCGTCGAGAGAATGACCATACTTAGTATAGTGTAAATAATCTCGGTGGAAAGTGGTACGTAATCAATTATACCTCTAGTGAGAATGGGAATAGTTGAAAACTAGTCACACACAAGAATAATAAATGAGAAAACTTCGAGCTCTGAAGGACTTGATGAAAATATATTTATAGTCCATAATTTGATAAACTGGCCTTGACAATTTCATTGAATGTATTTGACAAACGTTCGTCTCTGCCTTGTTGCCTGCGAGAGCGTATTGCATCACCTGTTAACTGTAGTGGGGCGAATGCATGTTCTTCGAACTGTTAGTTCGGGAGAGCGTACTTTGTCACCTGTCGACTGTATGGAGAGAATGCCCGTTCTTCGAATTGTTAGTTTGAGAGAGCGTAATCTGTCACCTGTATCGACTCTGAAGAAGTTATATGAAACTTGATTTGCGCGTGTATGACTAGCTTGTTTAAATAATATAAAGGGATGTACCTTGTAAACTACCGACAGGGTATGTTGATTGGCTGCGTGGCTGGCGTACCCCTTACGATTATGATTCCAATGGCTTCACTGTTAAATCACTACCTGTTCTTACTGACTCTTTCTAATGATGCACATGTATTCTTAGGTTGGCTGCTGAACATGCAGCCACGTGTCGTAGTCGTATTTATAAACAATAGTCCGAGCGCGCGTGCCATTTTTTGTTTTAAATTCGTGGATACTGCTTCAATCCCGAACAACACATAATATATCCAGATTTACAGGCTATATATCTGGGTTTCATCACCTTCAAAATATAATAAAATAAGATTTCTTTTGTTTGCGATCTGAACTATTAGCAATTAGTTAATCATACAGGCAATATCAAAAGGTTTTTGCAAAGAAAAACAGAAAATAAAGAAAAATAAAATTACCCGCGTGTACTTATCAATGTAACAAAATGCACAATATAAAACCATTAATATTCTTAGAATATTTATATAATATTTATATAATATTTATAGCTTAATAATTTATTCCTATTACAACTTAAATTTCGAGCAACAAAAATCTTTTGAAAGTGATAATTTTATTTGTTGTTTATTATAATCATAAAAAATAATCTTGTGGTTTATCACACTACTTAAAATTAACAATATAATTTCGCTTATCATGATAAATTTTGATATTTAAAATTTAATGCTGTAATATTAAAATTATCTATTACTTTGTTTTATGTAATTATAAACATTCAAATTTGTGAGAAAATATATTTAGTTTATATTAGTTTAGTAGACATCTAATGAACCAAAAATTTGATTTTTAAATTTAATAATAACAATTATTTTAAACAGTTGCATGATAGATTAATTTTTTTAAATTTCTTAAGAATTAAAATGTTTTATTTATATACGTGTAGATCTATAAAATATTATATATAGAAATATTGAAATATTTAAAAATTTATGAATTGTATTGCGTATTTCTTATTCAAATCAATTAAATTTATTAACGATTTATGAAATTAGCTAATCCAAATTTGTTAAATAGGATAAAGTATTCTATTCTTTAATAATGACATACACTATTGAGAAATATGTAATAAAAAATTTATTATATACTTTTTACGGATTGAAGCAGTTAAAGGCGGAATACAAAAGTGGGAGAAGTATAAACACCTGCACATTACGTTATAAACACAATTCTGCGAATTCGGGAAATTTCACTACGCAGAATACTCGAAAATTAGACTCTAATTCCAACTAATATTGCCGATTAACTCTCCAAGGCTATATCCTACTGACGTCACGGCAATAATCAGCATAGCAACAGACACCGGTGCGCTACCGGCGTCGCAAACTCGTACGAGAATATTTAAGAGCAGCGGTTCACGCGCATCTTTCTTGTGCTAGTACTAATCATGCAGTCTTTACGACGGGCTCACTATTCTACCTTCAAGGGTCACCACTACAGACATCGTTCTCTATAACTACTCATGTACGTAAGCATCAAGCAGTCTAAAGAACTAATAGTGACGCCACGGCTATACTGGCGGACCTAACGCCCACGTAAGTAACGCACACTACTGTCACTATAACACTATAACGGCGGACCCCCCGCTTACGCACGCAGTGACGTAACACGACGTCCTCCCCACCACCAAGACAACAGCGGCGCTCACGCTATCCATTCATACACTTATGACCATTAACTAATTGTTATATCTATTATATTTAATAAAAGGAAAGACACCAAACTTTACAAGCAGTATTGAATAATTGCATTGCCCCTTCCTCTTGCCAGCAACACCTCCACCCACTATCTAAGGGAGGTTTTTAGTCTGACCCCAGACAATACTGTTATTATTTATATAAGAATATCCTCTATATTGAAATAAAATAACATGATTAGGAGAAAAACAAATTTTACCTGCAATATTCATACTTGCGTTATTAAAATATATATAAGATTGTATTCACCGTTCTGGTTCGTTTTACCAAGTCCGGTTCAAGGGATACAAATTGATGTCGTTGACAATTTAGAGACCAGGGGATATTGTGTGATGGCGATGTAAGGTCAGGTGGAAGGGACAGTATAATTAATTCAGTGTAAATATATCTGGTTGGTATGCTTTTTATTGTTATTTTCCAAATACAGGGATGACTGGTATTACTGTTATCCATTGTTGAACTCTTGTTGCGGATATTACGTTTGTGGTGACAAACGTACACTTCTATAAGCAGCGTGATGGTTCATATATGAGCGCTGAATGACGCGAAGATTAGATCGTCGACACTCGCGCTGTTCGTGTGAGCACGTGCTTAGTTGAGGTTATGAATGACAATGTGGGTGCGAAATACGCGACGGTTGTTCTTTGAGATTATACTCGTTATCGTAGCAAGCGTACCTTACTTCTTGGGTATTGGCGTATTGCACTAGTTGTTTCTTGGGAAGTAAGAATTCGCGGGGTTCTTACCTCGTTAGGGAATGCTACGTGTTGCGTTTGTTAGTAAGCAGTGAGTGGCGCAAAGATTAGATTCATGAGCGGCGGACTCAAATTAAGGTGAGGTTACGTCGGCAAGGTGGGCGCGAACTGGCGCGAAGACTTGGTGACGAGTGCTGTGTTTTTTTGCACTGCGTTCTCCTATGAGAGGGCCTCAATTCCTTATGGATGCTCGATGACGGCTTCTTTTACTTCGAATCTTGGATGTTAGTATTAATAATCGAAGTAGTTGATACTACTTTCAAAGACTAATCGTAGACTCAGTCGAGGGACTTTTCCGCTCCTTCTTTGATGACTACTTCAACTGGCACTTGTCTGCAGACTCTGATAACTGATTTTTACGTCCTTTTATTTGAAGACGTGTTAGTTACGATCTTTACCTACGCGTAGGAATATTTACTTCCTGATTGACTAAGAACTGTATCCAGAGTGTTTGAATATTGGAATTGTGTCTCTTAAATACATTTACTGACCATGAACTTCACTTGAATCCCTTCCCTTATTTTCTGTCCAATCAGAGAGTTTTTCACTTACAGAGCGAGGGCAGCGCCTCTTGTGGCTTCGTCTTAAATTACAAAGCGTAGTCGTCTCTTGATTTTCGCGGCAAGAAGAGCTCTCGTTGCTTTTGACGTATCTGGCGACCCTATGACAACTTGTTGGCATAGGGAAGGGGAGGAGTCGGTACATACCGTTATATGTTAGTTTTCGAGCAGAGGCAGTCCGTGCGGCTGCGTACTGAGTTGGGTTTTCCCCACTTTATTGTCTTGTTTTGCTAGATGTTTTATGACACTATTACTAGATGGTTCTGAGCAGAAATTTTCCGAAGTCTAAACGACAATTTAAAAATTTAGTTTTGCCATATGTTTTATTGGCAAGAACCGTTCTCACAACCTCGAACACACATAATTTGAAAATACTATATAATGTATTATAAAGTTAAAGAGTTAACAATGAAGATTTACATAAAAAAATAATTCATTGTTTAAATACTTTTTATATAATATAAAGCATACTTATAAATATATACTCATTATTAGTCAAATGAATATTTTAATTTACCTGAAGAATTAATACAAAATTATAGAATGTTATTCTCTATATTATTAAGATTATATTAATTAGCTCATATATAATTTTTTATATTATTTATATAAATACGGTATCATACTTTTGCAAAGTTGGAAAAAGTTTACAAAGAATTTTTATTTTATGACAACTCTATTTATTTCTTTAATTATTTAATATTAAATTAATATTGTAGGCTAATAAATTTATGATATAATTACTTATTCGATATATTATTTAATTATATTCCCTTGGAACTTCATTAATAGGATATATTTTTTATATAAAGTTATTGACTTATCATCTATTGTAAATACTATAAAATGAAACAAATGGTATACTAAGTATTACAAAGTTACTTGACAAAATAAATACCATATATAAACAAAAAATTTAGGATATAAGTACATATATATATATATATATATATATATATATATATATTGGTAGTACAAAATTTACCTACCGTTAATTCCAATATACTAAAAGGTAACAGAATTGGTGAACTAGTATCAGATGTATAAAGAACTGTATCATTTTCTGCACCAAGTAAAATTGCATCATCAAATAAAATGGTTAAAGGATAAATTTTTAATTGAAAAGGTAACATAATTCTTTTGCTCATGAAAGTGTGAATTTTATCTTGATGAGTTTTTGGAAATAATGGCAACCAAACTCTCATTCCATAAGTTCCGCAAAACAGCCAAACTGTTTCCATTAAATGTGGTTTATTTTTTATAGATTCTGTAGAAACCCATAAATTTTCTACACTAGATGCCAAAATAGTTGGTGATGCACAGGTAAATAACTAAAAATAAATTTATTAATGTATTCAAAATATAATTCTAATTTTTCAATTGATATCAGAAAAAAAGATATAATTATAAATTATAATACAAATTTTCATTATATATCATAGTTAATTAAATTTTTAATTAAATTAAGTAAATACACCAGTTTTTGATATGTATCAAATATTTATGCAGATATAATATATTTTTCACTTATATCTGAGTTCAATAAGTTTTCACATAATTTATTTATTATATCTATTGATTTATAACACTTCTATTTCTTCTATTCTAATTAATTTTGTTTGTGTTGAAGATACTGATAAATTTTTTTTTTGCAATTTATATAATTTTATTTAACTAATACCAAAAAAGAATTAATAACTTATGGTAATGCATAACAATTATCTATATATCTTTAAATGTTCAATATTATTACTTTCCTTTTTTAATTCTTTCAACTTATATCGATATTTATTGACTTTCGAAATATTCTAATGATGGTAATATAAAGTACAAAAAGTTATATATTTTAATAAATATTGGAGAATTATTAGTACCATTGTTTTCATTTGGTTATACATTTTTTTATCTATCTAGTTTTAAAAAAATTCAGAGTTGTAATTATATTGTGCTTTTAGAATAAAAATAATTATTAATAATTCAAGTTATTACTGTGAAATCTTTTTCCTGATAATTTTTCTTCTATATTTTTATATAAAAATATTTATCTATTCACTTCTTTAATTTAATGTTTATCTACAGACAAAGAGCTAAAACCTATGTTTAATATACACTAGCAATATTTGTCCAGTCTCAAAAATTGATAAGGTCCAGTTTGATTTATTCTGTATTCCTGTTTATAATTCTAACAGATTTCAGAGCTTAAGAGAATAGATATGATTTTTACAAAATAAAATTTGAACATTTATATGGATTTATATACTACTTTCTGCTGATTTCGACAAAATTTCGAGAATACACAACTTTTTAAAAACTTATAAAAATTCGATATTTAAAATTTAAAATATTTTTTTTTCGTTTTTACTATAGTATTTACTTTTTGTGAGCATTATTTATACAAAATATATTAATACTATATGACTTAAATTATATTTTATTTCATATATATTTACGTAATATTTATGTAATATAATTAGAATCATGATTACTTATATGTTATATTAAATAACAAGGAAAAAGATTATTATATATACAAATATGTTTTAAGTAAGATATTTCCTAATGTTTTATTAAATTATAATAAACTTATAATAATTTTATTTTATTAAAGATTAAAGTACATACTATATCTGTACTTTCCAACCAATGGTCTCGTTGTATCATAAGAAGTTTTCCAGAAATATTGAGAAGAAGTGTTTCTGGGTATGTGTTCGTTTTTGAAATTTCAGTTCGTATTAATGTAAGACTCGCGTTAACAACACATGCAGGATGAGCACAAAGATTACTTATATCTATAGTTTGTATCATTACTAATTCAATCCAATTATATTCTGAAATCAAATACATTTCTATTATTATATACATCAAATTTGTAAATAATAAATATAGCAGCAGATAATAATATATTTCATCTAGTTTAATATTTTTGTTGCATAACTGATTAGTACAAATCCTCATAGAATTTAACATCTTATTTTCTTCAAGTTTCAATTTACTGTCTTATTAACACGGAGGATCTATAGTAAATATTAAATATTTTTATCCCATATACATATAGTAATCTGATGAGTCAATCAATTCTGTCGACAGTATATAATGTATAAATCCTAATTGAAATAAGTAAAGTAGGAAAAATATTAGGGATTTCCATTTTCAGATTTGTATTTCAGCATATGTTTATATATACTAGTGATACAATACATTGACTATAGTTTGCAAATATGATTTTTATATTCTTTGACCGATTATACGTATAGATTGTTTGGAATTCCAGCCACCAGTATGATCGCAGATCACGGTGGGTGGATTAGACCATCTGGGAGTGCAAGCTTTGTAAGGTAATAATTTATTTTATATTATTTCTAGGTTCTAATAGGTTTTATTTTGAGTGTGAGTCGCGCTTGAATTATACTGGGCATTGAATTATGTTAACTCGCGGAGCTTCGACGCTTGCGGCGATGCTCGAATCGTTCTAAGCGAGATTATTACGAATAGTTGTCGCCCTCTTTTGTGGTTTGATTAGAACCAATTTGTTGTGGCGTGACCGGTAATGTCTCGCAGTACTAATTTTAGACTTAGACAGGGGTCTACTGTCCGGATTGGCGCCCTCCTTTGCAGTCTGCTAATAATCAAATCGGAGGGCTTTCCTGATACGGTAGACGTGGGCCGCGAATGATCATGAAAAGTTTATTCCGGGTAGCATGATTGGTATGGTCTCGCCCTGCTAACAAGCATTAGGCCGGGTTCTAACAATAAATATGATAGACGTAGGTCGGGGTGCGGTCACGAGAAATAGGCGAGGATTTACGACAAGTGTGGATAATATTGATAGCTGACCGGCAATAATAATAATCGAATAATAATAATAATATTATACTTTGGACGAATTCCTTCAGACGAGTTTGACTTTCACAGATATTACTAACACCAGTTTCACTTGAGTAATTCAACAAGACTGTTTTCTTCTCCATTCGTTGCTTCTTAAATACGATTGCGTATTTATTGTATTATGTATTGTCGTATTTGTAGTATTATGAATTCTTGGAGGCTTTAGTGAATTCTCTGGAAGCAAGCTTTGACAACTTCGAGAAGCTTCCTTTGTTGCTATGCGGACACAAAAACATAAAAATATATACACTTTATAACATTATATAAAGTGCGCGGCTAAATGTCCAATGAATTTTTGTAACGTATAATTCGAATATTGTGCCTTAATCTAAATGTGATTTATCGGAATCGTATTTTAACAAACAATAAATTCTAAGTTTTTGTTGGGTCGTTCAATCCTGAACAACGATAATTAGATGGGAAATAAATTAACCAAATATTTTTTCTTTGCAAATGCGAATAAATATATACATGCAAACAAACAATTTTTAAATTATGATTGATTCCAATAATTTTCGATATCTTATTAATAGAAGAAAGTTTAGATTTTCAGTTTCAAAAGCTTGACTATTGACAGCCAAATAAAATTATAAGGAATTATTATGAATATGATGACGATGAACTCCCTCTTTCTCCTTTTCTGTATATATATAAGGCATTTGTCTAGGTAAATTTACTATGTGAAGTGCTTCGTTATTTTTAATTTAATGTAGATTATATAAAAGCATTTGCTAGTTATATATTTTCAGATTAAAATTCTTATTACATTTCGTTATAATTTCTTTTGAAATATTTTTTAATTTGTAGATAGTATTGAATAAAATATTTATATTGATATCTTCAGTTTAGTTATATTTAATTTTTGTTATTGAGAACATTATATATATATCTAAAATATTTCTTTAACTATATTAAATGAAAATTTACGAAGCACTTCACATAATAAATTTACCTAGGCGAATTCCATATATATTTTACTTTAAAAATATGTTTGAGATTCCACGAACCTCTCGAATGCTTTCATTTTATGTGAAAACCCCAACGGTTATAATTTCTGGTAAATACTCCAAAGATTAGAATTTCTGAGAAGATCACGTTGGACATCCGGAAAAGCTGTTGCATCCGAAAAAACAAGTGCACAATTGCATACATTGGTTTCTCGCATCACAATCGCGTCCATTGTTGTTAGTTAAGCTGTCGCGTCGATATTTAAGTCAAGCACACCACAAGATAGGCGCGACTCAGCCATGGGCTGGTTACTTGGGAACACATTCTGTCTTAGCAGGCCTGTTGTGCTCTCACAGTGGAGACGCCAAGGATGAAAAAAGAAGCTCTTTCTCAGCAGAACCGCCACGGAAGGAGCATGCCTTCAGTTTCATGTAACTACTAAAAATCGAACCTCTTGGTGCTAAAGTGCACTCTTTCAAGGAACCTCTCACAATCAGTGCTAAATCGCACTCTCAGCAAGTGTTCGCTTCCACGAGACGGTGCAAGCGAACACCGCTCGACGCCACATCAAGGTATCGAACTATTTCTTCACATTTCCACACCACAAGACATCAATGAGGATACCACAATTAGGTGATTACTACGTGGCACTATACAAAGAAGGGTCCAGAGATTTACGACCTCTCACTTGTCAGTGTAGTAATCTACCACCGAGCGCACCGCGTCAAGAAAATCCGGAGATTTACGACCTCCTACCTCTATAAGTAGTGCATGCTAACACCACATGGCAACAACCAAGAAACGACAAGATCTCAGCGATTCTCATCACCAACTTAAAATCATTATAGTGTAATTTGTAAAGTAAACGCAATGAACAAACACAAAAAGCAGATGTATTGAATACTGAATTGAAGCGTTACCACTTCCACTTATCCACACTTCTTTCCCATTAGTAAGCTGGTGGACATTGTCTAATTATAAACAAAATTAAAAATTAACAATAGAATAATATATAAGTAATTTCATTAGAAATACATATATCATTTAAAAAAAAAAATATATATATACTCTATATTAATTTTATTTAAAAATTTAAAAACATTATAATAAAAAATTTTAAATAAAGTTTGGTGTTAATGTAAATTATAGAAAAATCTTACTATGGATGCAAATATATTCAACTGTCTGGGATCAGACTAAAAAACCTCCTTATGAAGGTGGGTGGAGGCTTGCTGGCAAGTGGAAGGGGCAATACAATTATTCAATACTGTTCTTTGTGTTTGTAGTCGTTACTTTTATTAATGTAATAAGTAATGAGTAGTAAATAATCTATTAATTATTAGAATGAGTGTATGATATAGTGAATATATTAGTGTTTCTTCTTTATTAGTCTGTGCGTGTGTTCTTGATAGCCTGGAGCGTGATTCCTCTTCTTCTTCGGTTTAGTAGTCGTAGTGGGAAACTCGTAGTGGTAGGGGAAGCAAGTTAGTGCCGTCTTAGCAGCCGGCGAAGGGTGAGCTGTAGTGTACAAAGTGGTGGGAGAACGTCCGTGTGACGTCACAGCTTGTGTCCGTGAGCTCCAAGGTAGTGGTGATGTTGGTGCACGTTCGTGTGCTCGATGCGAGTGTAACTCGCGCTGTACAGGTAAAGGTAAGAAGTAGCGTCGACGTTACTTACATGCGGGCGTAAATCGCGATGTAAGGTACTATGCAAGAACGAGAGCCGGCGTAACTTGCACGTGGTGGCGGGAACTGTGTGATGAGCAGAAAGGCGATCGCGTGGCGAGGTAATATTGAAGAACGAGAGTCGGCGTTACTTGCACGTGGTGGCGGGAACTGTGTGATGAGCAGAGTGGCGATCCTGTCGTGCTGGGTGCTTGTAACTAGGAGGAATCGCGGCGCGTGCAGCTCCTTAAATATTCTCGGACGAAATCGATGCGCTGATAGCGCATCGGTGGCTGTTACTGTGCTGCTATTTTTCGTGACGTCAATAGCGCATAGCTTTTACGGGGTTCATTTGTTAATATTTCTCGGTATTATAGTCGTATGTTCGAGTTTTTCGGTTAGAAGCATTCGTTGAGGCCGTTGGCCAATGTTTACCAAACAATGCTGCACGCGCTCATACCTCTCCCACTTTGTATTCCGCTTAAAACTGTTGTAATCCGTAACATCAACATAAAAAAACTATCTACATATTAAATGGTGATATTTATATTGTTAGAGCATAAAAAACTATATTAAATATTATAATAGCTATGAAGTCAAGAATTCTTTCAATAGCAAATAAAAATTTAATTAAAAAATTCATAAATAAACATTTGAAAATAACCATGTAATTAAATTAAAATACAGAGATATAATTATGTGTTACTATATCTAATAATAACATTTATAAGTACAAATGAATATTGAAAATAGAAAATCAATTTATTTGCTATTAAAATATGAAAATTTTGTTATGATATAATAAAAAATTGTTTCGTAAAGTTAAATTTTGATATTACTTATATTATTATGGATGAGATGGAAAAAATTCTAAATTCAGAATAAATAAAGTAGCGAAAGACTACTTGATTTTGTTATTTTTCAAAATATATCAAGAACTATATCAGAAATTATAGAACAGAATTGTCTAAAAAAAGAGTATCGGGCTAGGACTAGACCAAATATCTAAAGTTAGGTGTAAACTCCCAGATGGTGGAAGGGAGGATTGCGGGCAACTGGACACGATAGTGCATGTATTCAATAATAAATAGATTTGGTATTTGTTTTAATTTATTGCGATAATTACATTAGTTGTATTATAATGATTTTTAGTTGATGTTTGAATGCCTTCGTTGTATTGCTATTGCCACAGAGCGGTAATGTGCGTTGATATACAGGTAGAAGGGCGTCACCTTCTGGTCCTCTATATGTAATGCATGTGGTGGTGGAGTTATACACGTAGAAGAACAAGGCCGTAAACCCTTGCGCTTCCTTGTGTAGTGGCACAAGGCAGTAGCTTGAGTTTGCCTTGTTATTGTCTTATTGCTTACCTTGTAGGCTCTGCAGGTAGGCTCTTGGTGGTACTTCATTTTAGTCTGTAGATATTGCCACTTTGTTCATACTATTAAAAAATATAGCACGAAAAATATTGAACGATGTACGTAGAAGTTCTTAATTATAATGAGATACAATTTTATAAAGAGGATATATGATTTTGTAGTCATATATTCCTATCGAATATTAACTGGGTAGTTTCTTACTTGCATCCCCACCATGAGGGGGAATTCTTTGGCGCGTTCTCGCTTCACTATCCGAGCCACGTGTAGCTGGGTTTAACAACAGCGTATGCGTGCAGTGTTGCCTTTAATATCCCTTTTTCGGATGTCAAACGACGTGATTTCTGCTTATATTTGTATGACTTGATTATGCCAGAAGTATTATGGCTTGTTGGCGATGGATACTTTATGGCGTGGTCGCGTCGAATTTCTCGTCCCATTAGTTTTATGACGTGTTTCGTTAGACACTTGATCGCATATTCTCGCCGGATGTGTTTATGAATTGTTTTTCTTTAGATAATCAAGGGTTTACTTTTTCCGGAACACTTATCTCGAGTTTTCCAGATGTCTAATGAGCTGAGAGTATTCTTACATTCACGAACAAGAATAATTTTGTAAAAGTTAGAGAGATATAAATCACTATTAATTATTCAATTATCTGAATGATGAAAAAAATTGACAATAATCTTAGTAGCTGTCTGTTTATAATCGTAAACTACCTATAAATATTTCTAAATATACTTATTATAAAACTCACCACGTAATTTTCGATTGTCTTTAAATATAATTGTAAATATTAAATTATCGATATTTTTAAAACGATTTAATTTTTCTATTTTATGAAAGAAGATAATAATATCGTTATTATTATCATTAATATTATTAATTATTTATTTATTTTGGGTTACAAAAATAATAATAGGCTCATCGATATTTCATTACCTAACTATTAAATTGATTACGAATCAGTGCACCCATATTAGAAATGATTTAATAAATGTATGTATATAATAAAAGATCAATAATGGATGGACTAAATTAAAATATTATTGTATTACATATTTTATAATTTTTCTATTAAATGTTTATATTTTATACAAGGCCTCGGAAAACTAAGAAAAATTATCTAATATATCAATAAATTATATTTTAATTTAGATTATATGTTAAACTTACCAGTTTCTTCACTTAAGATCATGTTATATATTCTGATTTGAGAATTAGCACAAAACACTAAAAGAAGATTTTTAAAAATGTTTAATAGTAGAATTTGTGAAGTCATTTTAATAGATTTTACGTAATTGTTATCTAATCTGACATTTCTTGGATATAATCTTAATTCGTCTTCATTTTCTGGTATAGAGTAACTACTAGTTATCAAGTACCCATGATACCATAAAAGTCCACCTGTTACAACAAAATCTCGTTCTTGATATTCATTGCCAAATAGTTTCCACTTTCGTGATAACATTGAATAATGCGCCAAACCAGTTTTACCAGCTACAGCAATACTTTCTCCTTCTTCGTCGATAGCAGTAAACTATAAAAATATTATTTGCATTCATGTTTTATTATAAAATAACTTATCTTTTTAATTAATTATAAGAATATTTCCAAATTCTTCTACAAGTGATTTAAAATTTTCTACAATTATAATAGAATGTATAAATTTGAATAAATATATATAATTAATTACATTTCAATCAAATACAGTTGGATATTAAATTATATATAATGTAACATATGCATATTATAATCAGATGTATTTATTAACATAACGTTTGAAAGTTAGTTTTAATACTGGAATAATTTTTGTGTTCAATTGTATTCTATAGGAAGCAACACTAATATACACAATACTTATATAGAAAATTAAATTTATATTACTTATATGGAAAGATAAATTTAATTGAAATAATAAAAAAATTACAATCTTGCGAACCAAGAATTGATATTGTAAATTCCGTAATTAATGTATGTAAGAAAGGAAATTAAAAAGAGCAAATATTATTTCTTGGGCATTTAAAAATATTTAATTGATCATCTTAAAAAACCTTATAGAACCAATATAACATTTTTTATAAACTATAAATATATTTAAATCTCAAAAAGCTAGTTTTCTACAAAAAGATATCCAGATGTATTGATAATTTTTTATTGCAATATTTTATGTATAATACTTTTTCTATCTTATAATTAGATATAAAACAATATTTGATATTTAAATTCATATAATTTCTATTTTTTCCTAATTAACAATTAAGATTAAAAAGGAAAATATCTGTAGTAGACATACATAACATTCCGTATTTCTATATATATCTCTGAATTTTCTTAATGTTTCAGCTTAAGTACTTCAGCATTATGAATACTTTAGTATAGTAATCGATATTCCAATACATGTTAGATCCTTGAATACATTATATTTCATTACATTATTTACCATATGAATGATGACATAATAAAAATGACTTTTTATTGAGAACATAATGTATTTGAAAAATAAAGAACGAACATAGCCATTGGTAGGATAATGAAAAACATGTTATGGAAATATTAAAAATGAAGTATTTATAGATTTTAGAGAGATGAATATTGAAATGCATGATTTTATACATCATGAGTCATAGACAACTTACTTTAAACTTTACTCCTACGATCAGTTAAATTGTGATTAAACGAATATACATATTCTCACAATTTTTATTCTTATATTCATGAATTATCCAACATATTTTGTGATTATTTGATTGTAAATATTAATTTGGGTTTAAAGTTTTTTTTGGGTAATAAATTATTCATAACCAAATTTCAATTGATAATTTTTTTAAATTTTATTTTATATTTAATTTTTGTACTAGTAAAAACATATTCTAATTTAGTTATTTTTAGGAGTTTCAAATGTGATAGATTCATGTATAAAAATGATTTCATTTTACCAATTGTGCATTCTTTCTAACCCCCATCCATTTACAAATCCTCGTTTCCTCACCGTCTATTAATTACGTATATTAACGCAAATTATACTATTGCTTTTTGTTGGTTTCTATTTTGCTGAACAAAAAAAAAAATTACCACCTCAATGACATCAATTTTTCTTTTCTTTTAGGTAGCTGAACGTATCCATACTTTTTAATCAGTAAAACTGTATTCACCGCAATACATAGTAAATTCTTCGTTGAATTTGATTGTTGATTTGATAACGTATGAAGTTATTGTATCAGTTAATGGTTGTTTTAGAAAATACAATAATTTCTTTTTGCATTGTAAAACAGTTCTACAGAATTTTACATGCTAAAGCATTTTACTTTCTTGAATAGATGTACCTTGCTGACAAACTCAACACAGAAGGCAAAAATTGTAACATCGTGTAAATTCACATTATGTGAATTTTGTATTTCTAATTCTTTTCAGTTTTTGTATATATATTTTTTAATGTAATTTATATGGGAGGATATAAATATAAATTGTTACATAATTAGATTTGTAATAGACTTACTCGTATTGGCCAATTAGAGCTCGTGTATGCATTGGGAATAGGAACTATAAGCCATTGTTTTGTTCCTGATAAAACATTACAAAATCCATCAACACGTTCAAGAGTAGGAAGAAGTAATTTATTATTTTTGGAAAATATTTTATAACCTAAATTGATATATAATCGATCTTCACCTTGTAAATATATATGTCCATTATGAGACTGAAACATTTATTAATTATAAAACGTTGTAAGCATTAATATTAATTTATATAATGAACTTGGAAATATATATAACTACATATTATAAATAAAACATATGCATGTATTACTTTCGAAAAGTTTAAATCTCGACGTAGAGATAAATGCAATTTTTATACTAATACTGTACTTCTTATATTATTGTTTAAAATAAGATAAAGTATCATTTTTTAATTATATATTTGATTATATTGATAACTATACATATAAAAAAACTAATGAAATAATATTCATATATTAGGTATGTTAAAAAACCAACTGCTATATTATGCAGAATTTGAACTATGATAATTATTTTATTTTTCAGATGCATGGACAGAACTATTTTTACTCTTTTCATTCACAGTGGAGATGCAATGTAACATGAATATATATTCTATAACACCGCTCATTTAACTAACATTATTACGTTGATTTTTTACTATCGTAGACGTATGTCATTTTTGAGAATATTAATTTTGTTACATTACGCTACGGTGAATTTACTGCTTGTATATACTAGAAGCATTGCAGTTGTTTAGAATTAAACCAAGTTTACCCGTTTACTGATGGGAGAAAAGTGTCGTCAAGTGAGAATGGTACCGCATTTATTCAATATTTAACACATTTGCTTTTCGTACTGTTTATTGCGTTTTACTTTACAAACTACACTATAATGATTCTAAGTTGGTTGTGAAAATCGTTGAGTTCTGTGGTGGTTACCACGCGGTGTTAGCATGTACTACATGTAGAGGGAGTAGGTCGTAAATCTCCTGGCCCTCTTGACGTAGTGTGCTTGGTGGTAAATTATTACACTGAGAAGAGGTCAAAAATTTTTTGACACTTCTTCGTGTAATGCGACGTGGTGGTCACTTGATTCTGATCTCCTGCTTGAGAAAGTGTCAACTCTAGTAAGTGATAGGTGTCTATTGGACCCAGTATAAGCAGTTGGCGTTGACACTTGATCCTTTTAGTATGTCCAGAAAAAGGTGGCTATGGCACCTTGAGCTGCTATGCGGTGGCAGAAGAGACTTGACTGCCGACTCTGCGGAGGGAGCTTCCTTATTCCTTCTTCCTTGACAACTCCAGCCTGAGTGAATACGTTTGTTCTCTGTCGTGATAAATGCAATTTTTATACTAATACTATTGTCTGGGATCAGACTAAAAACCTCCTTATGATGGTGGGTGGAGGCTTGCTGGCAAGTGGAAGGGGCAATGCAATTATTCAATACTGTTCGTTGTGTTTGTAGTCGTTACTTTTATTAATGTAATAAGTAATGAGTAGTTAATAATCTATTAATTATAAGAATGAGTGTATGATATAGTGAATATTATTAGTGTTTCTTCAGTAGTAGTGGTCACGATGAGTCTGTACGTGTGTTCTTGGTGGCCTTAGTGTTCCCTAGTGCGTTGAGAGAATAGTTTTTTTAATTCCTTGTCGGCTCCGACGAATGTTATTCCACAGTCGGAATACATGATCTGTAGAATGCCTCTGCGGCTTGAAAATCTGCGGTATGCTGCAATGAACCCCTTTGTTGAGTAGTCACCCACTACTTCAATGTGCACTGCTGACGTAGTGAGGCAGACGTACAGACAAATCCAGGCCTTGTAGGTTTTGGCTCCTCGACTCTTCCATGTCCTTGTGGTAAGAGCACCAGCATAATCCACTCTAGTGTGAGTGAATGATCGCGAAGGCGTTACTCTTGGAAAGGGTAGTTGTCCCATTAATTGACTGGCGCGAATCTCTCGTTGTTTCGCGCAAGTAACGCATCTTAGAATGTGTGATTTTACAGCTGATCGCCGTCCGATAATCCAGTAATGTTGTCGGGTATATGATAGTGTGATCTGGGTGCCTCCGTGCAATGTTTTGAGATGTGCTTATTCGATGATGAGTTTTGTAAATTGTGATAACTTCGGAAGGATGGCTGGATGTTTTTTTATTCTCTGATATTGATGCATTCAATAATCGTCCACCGACTCTTATGATTCCGTGTGCATCAATGTAGGCCGTGAGTCGGAAGAAGGCGTGAGATGAGGGTAATCCTGTGGTTTGCATCGCTCGTAATTCCTGACAAAGGAATATGTTTTTTGTCAATCTTATCCACTGTGTCCTTGCCAGATCTATTTCCGTATGTGTCAGTTGGTTTGCTAAGGGGCGTTTTCCCTTTAGGCACGCGACGAACCTAATGCATGTCGCAGTTATTCTCAGTAATTAAATAAGTGTTGGGTAGTCGTATTCTGATTCTTTGGTGGTTACGGTTAACGACACATTTGGGCGAGCTTCTTGATCGCATTGGTCATCTCTGTCAATAGGTTGCACTGGCCAAGAGTCTGGAGTTGGTGTCCATGTTGGGCCTGTCCACCATAGAGTGTGATCCTTGAGTTGTTGGGTGTTAAATCCTCTGGATGCGCAGTCAGCTGGGTTTGATGTTCCGGGTACGTATCTCCATTGTGCTTCTGCAGTGAGTTATTGCATCTGCGTGACTCTATTGTAGACAAATTCCTTCCATCATGACGGATGTGATTTGATCCAAGTTAGGGTAACTCGCGAATCTGTCCATCTGTAGTTCTACCGTGGATGATTCTTCTGGTTTGAACCATCGAGATATGGTTATTTCATTCAAACATTGTAGCTCCATTCTGATGGTGTGCCATCGGTTGACGACTTCGTTTGCGAAGGGGTCATCCCATCTGACTGTGTGGAGCTATAGTTCTTGAAGTAGTACCTTGGCTCGTATTACTACTGGTGATGCAAATCTCAATGGATAAAATATTTTTGCAATGTCAGAGAGGATGGTGCGCTTTGAGACGGTAGTTGCGTGAGGGGCCAATGATTTTGAGAATGTGAAAACATTTTCGTGTGGTCTCCATTGTAGTCCTAGAATTTTGGTAGTATTTTCGCTTGAGTTTACTGACTGTTCGGGATTCTGTTGTGTCTTCATTGCGGTGATTACTTCTTCGTTAGAGGAGTGCCATTTTGCCAATGGGAATCCGCCCACCATTCAGAGGTCCCGTAATTGTGTTGCTGTTTCCACTAGTTGGTTTAGATTGTCTGCACCTCCAAAGATGCCGTCTACGTATCTTCCGTATTTGAGAGAAGGTATAGCGAGTAGGTAATTGTCTCCTTCGTCATGTAAAAGTTGGAGGAGTGTTCGCACAGCCAAGAATGGGGCTGTTCTGATTCCGTATGTGACTGTTGTCAATTGGTAAATGACTTCGTTGCCTTGTTCGTCCATCCATAGAATTCGCTGTAGATCCCAATCGTCTTGGTGGACCAATATTTGTCTGTACATCTTCATGATGTCTGTGGAGAATAAATGCCTGTGTCTGCGTATCCAGATTAGTACATCGAAGATGTCTGGATTTAGATTGGCGCCTGTATGCATTATGTCATTTAGTGATCGTCCTTGAAGATGAGGGGCTTGACGCGTTAAATACTACCCGTAGCTTGGTAGTGGTACTGTCCGGCTTCAGTACACCATGATGCGGCAAATAGTATGTTTTGTGGTTGAACAGGTAGTTTTTAGGTAGTCTTCGCTCAATTTCTTGTACTCTGTCATGAATTGAGTGTACAACGTGCGATAGTTGTCGTCTCTTATGAATCGTCTTTGTAGGCGCAGTAGGCATTGATGGACCACGTTGTATCATTCGCCAAGCGTGTCGGGTGATTCTGAGAGCGGGATTTTTACCATGTACCTTCCAGTACCTGCGCGTGTCTGGTTCTCTTCGTAGTGCCGTTCACACTGATGTTGATCTGGATTGAGTTTGCCGTCGAGTCCCCGTGGTACTTCTTCTTGTACCCAGAATTTCAGTAGTAGATTTTGTAGGGTATCTTCCAGATCCTCAGTGATTGTGGTCATTGATGTGGCTGTGTGAGAGAGACCGTCGGCTGGCCCGCTTATTAACCAACCGAAGATGGACAGTTGTGCAATAGGTGACGATGTTAGACTTTATCACTTGTCCATACATGTCGGCTCCCAACACAATGTCTACTGGCCTGGCCTTGTTGTATTCTTGGTCGGCCAGTGGTAGTCCCTTGATGTGTGGTCATGTACATAGTGGAAGGTCCTGGGACGGTAATAGTTTAGACAATGACTTTAGTATGTACGCATGAATAATAAATGATTCTCTCGAGTCTAGTGATTGTATGGTGAGCTTGATGGTCCCTAATGGTTGAATTGGTGATCTTCTACTTATTCCGTATACAAGTATGGCAGACTTCTTTGGGGTTACATTAAATTATCGTACTAGCCTTTCAGTGATGAGTGAAATCTCGTAACCAGTGTCGATGAGCACGCGCGCTTGATGGGTGGTTGATTGTATGGTTACCTTAATTACCGCAGTGGCTAGCAGGGTCATTGGTGCTGTTGTGCTCGAGTGTTTCATAGTTAGTCATGTGGTGTGTAATGATTGCACAGGATCGCTTGTACTGGTGTTCTCGGACTCATGTAGTGATGTATGGTGTGCCTTGTGGCATGTCCTACAATTCCTTGGGTCGCTGCAGGGTCATGGTAAATTACTACCCAGGCAGTTACAACATCGCTTTAGTTTTTTTATTGCAGCCACTCTGTCGGCGATGCTGAGTTGCTGAAATTGGCTACATATCCAAATCTTGTGAACTCCGTGACAATAGATGCATCGTACATGTTTGTTGAATGGTTTGCTTCGATCTGGTGTCTTGCGGGCAGTTGATGGCTGACATAATCTTACGAATTTTTTGTTTGATGCACGGGGTTGAGGATGTGGAGGTGTAGCTGGGATTTCTTGTGTGTTGACCATTGATATGTTTTCCAGGGCTCCGACTCGAGCCATTACGAATTGATTGAACTTCTGGAACTGTGGATATGAGTTATCGTCTCTTAGAGATTGTTCCCAATCCGTTATTACTTGCTCATCAACTTGTAGTAGGGCCACATGTAGCATCAGTGCGTCCCACGCGTTAGTGTTGACAGTTCAGAGACTTCCTTTACTCTTGTTGGTGAGATCGTGATTGCTTGTGAAATAAGCGCCTTCAGAGCTAATCGGGGCGAGTTGTATTTATTAGTAGTAGCTGCCAGGTTGCTTCTAATGACTCGTGTTCTAGTGGCATATTAATTCTCCTGGTACTCCTTCCAGACAGTTCCGTAAATAGTGTAGTTTTTGGATGTCACTTAATTTGTTGCTTTCAAGTACTAGAGATTGAAACAGATCTCTGAATGAAGGCCATGCTAGATAATTTCCGTTGAATTTTTTAATAGGGATCTCCGAGAGGCAGGTTGCTCCGCGTGATTCTGCTGGCCGTGTTCTCTCTGCACCTGTGGGCAATGTAGTTGCTGCTGTCGGCTATCCAAATTCTTGACACAGCTTCATGATCAATGCTGTGGCCTTAGTGTAGCAGATGGATTCCTCCATTACTGCATTCCTTGTATAATATTCGGGCGCAATGCCTGCTTGTGGCCAGCTACTTACTATAAGCTTATGGTCCATTATGAAGTTATTGTGAGTCTCATCGATTGTGTGTTAGATTGCTAAAGTCTCGGGTAGACTGATGGTTGCTCTTTCTGCTCGAGGCTTTCAGTTAGCCCTTGGATGGTGCTGATCCGGGCCCATTGCGTTTGGGCTGTCATCAATTGTTCACTCGTTAACTTTTCCTTTGTTGTGCTGCGCGTGGTTGCACCTACTGAATCCTTGATCTCCTTTTTGTCTTGGGTGGCCATGTTATTAAAGTAAGAACAGTAATAGTGTACTTACAGTGTTGAAGAAACTCTCCCTTTTATAATCAATGATCCGTTACACTGTTGTTATAATTATGATTATTTTTCCTGAGTACAGTATTGGACGCATGCACTGATTTCCACTTATCCGGCTCGAAGGACTAAATTGTCTGGGATCAGACTAAAAACCTCCTTACGTTGGTGGGTGGAGGCTTGCTGGCAAGTGGAAGGGGCAATGCAATTATTCAATACTGTTCTTTGGATTTGTAGTCGTTACTTTTATTAATATAATAAGCAATGAGTAGTTAATGATCTATTAATTACTAGAATAAGTGTACGATATAGTGAATATTATTAGTGTTTCTTCAGTAGTAGTGGTGACGATGAGTCTGTGCGTGTGTTCTTGATGGCCTGAAGCGTGACTCCCCTTCTTGGGTTTAGTAGTCATGGTGGGGAACTCGTGATGGTAGGGGAAGCAAGTTAGTACCGTCTTGGCAGCCGGCGAAGGGGGTGAGCTGTAGTGTACGAAGTGGTTGGAGAACGTCCGTGTGACGTCACAGCTTGTGTCTATGAGCTCCAAGGTAGTGGTGGTGTTGGTGCACGTTCGTGTACTCGATGCGAGCGTAACTCGCGGTGTACAGGTAAAGGTAAGAAATAGCTTCGACGTTACTTACATGCGAGCCTAAATCGCTTGTAAGGTACTATGCAAGAACGAACGTAGGCGTTGCTTGCACGTGGTGGCGGGAACTGTGTGAAGTGGTAGCAGTAACCGCGTGGCCAGGTAATATACAAGAACGAGAGTCAGCGTTACTTGCATTCAGTGGCGGGAACTGTGTGATGAGCAGAGTGGCGATTGCATGGCGAGGTAATATGGAAGAACGAGAGCCGGGGTTACTTGCATTCAGTGGCGGGAACTGTAATATGAGCAGAGTGGCGATCGCGTGGCAAGGTAATATGCAAGAACGAGAGTCGGCGTTACTTGCATTCAGTGGCGGGAACTGTGTGATGAGCAGAGTGGTGATCGCGTGGCGAGGTAATATGCAAGAACGAGAGCCAGCGTTACTTGCATTCAGTGGCGGGAACTGTGTGATGAGCAGAGTGGTGATCGCGTGGCGAGGTAATATGCAAGAACGAGAGCCAGCGTTACTTGCATTCAGTGGCGGGAACTGTGTGATGAGTAGAATGGCGATCGCATGGCGAGGTAATGGTGCTTGGTGGCAAATTATTACACTGAGAAGTAAGAGGTCAAAAATTTTTTGACACTTCTTCGTGTAGTGCGACGTGGTGGTCACTTGATTCTGGTCTCCTGCTTGAGAAAGTGTCAACTCTAGTAAGTGATAGGTGTCTATTGGACCTAGTATAAGCAGTTGGCGTTGACACTTGATCCTTTTAGTATGTCCAGAAAAAGGTGGCTATGGCACCTTGAGCTGCTATGCGGTGGCAGAAGAGACTTGACTGCCGACTCTGCGGAGGGAGCTTCCTTATTCCTTCTTCCTTGACAACTCCAGCCTGAGTGAATACGTTTGTTCTCTGTCGTGTTCCTCGTATGAAAGAGAGAGAGAGAGAGAGAGAGCGCCTCTTCCATGGCTTCTAATAAGCCAGACCGTCTTCTGCGACGTCCCCCGTAAAAGAGAGTACCGTCCATCATGGCGTCCCTTGTAAGACAGCACTTTTTCCTTCCTGGACGACCCAGTATAGAGCGGTGTGTCTTCTGGTTGTCTCCTTTAAAAGTATTCCACTGACCACGGTGTCCACTTAAGGAACGCCTATTTCCTTGGCGTCTCCAATCAGAGTAGCTCGGGCTTCGATGTCTCTACTTGATTGAAGCGCCCTCACTTGCCTATCCAAGTGACAGTATGGCTAAACTTGACAACAGTGGATGCAATTATGTACCGTTAGATTTTAATTTTTTGATACAGCGACTGTTTCCAGGTGTTTAACGACTTGGGAAGAGTTCTCGCAATTTCCAACAAGAGGAAACATAACTTTGTAGTAAAAAGCAACTGCTGTTATTGTTAAAACTGTTAATGCCATTGTTAAAACAATGTATGTTATGTTGAATTGTTTTTATTTTATCTAATATTTATACAAATATTAATAATATTAAACATTAAATTTTTTGTAATTATTACTATTTTTTAAATACTCTGTCATTTTCAATTTTCGTAGTGCTTAGAGCACGAAGTTAAGTATGGCTTATTTATATTATCAGCAAAATTATTTTTTATTTTTTTTTATAGGATACTTAAACTAATAAAAATATTTTATATTCGTATAATAAACTGGTACAGTATATAAATATATACAGTAGATACAATATATTCATTCTGGTCTTCGTAATGGGAGTTTAGGTACTTTGATAAAGTATCGATTAAAGTATTATTCGGTGCTTGTTTAAAATACTTATCATACTTTTAAAATAAAGGGCCTGCTGATAAAATATAGGATGACATAACATAAACTACTGTTGTATTTAGTAAATACATACATTTAGTAAAGTACATCAAAATTATACCATTTATAAATTTGTCTCTATTTAAATTAATCTAAACAACGTTATATATATATAGCAAGCTATACTCGTTTGTTTACATAACGTATGAATAATAGCGATAATAATAGCAATAATAACGTATTCTGCAGAAATTTCAAATATATGGATAATATATGAATAATCA